TCTCAGTTAAGCTTGATAGCTTGTTAACAAAGAGTTTCTGCCCAAGGGCACCTCATAGACATTTCACATTGTATTAAATAGCAATGTGAAATTTACACATAGACAGAAAACAGTCTGTTTACCAAACCTTCCTGAGTTTCCCACCTTAGGTGCATATTTGCAAACCAAATTCACCATGCATCATGTGCTGGTTCACGCCTCAGATACCAGGGCAGGGCAGCAGGAGAGCACCAGACAGTAAAAGAGATATGTTTATCTCTAGGTATTATTAGTAGGGACACAGAACACTTCAGTTATCTTGTTGATAGGATGATAACTCTCAATTAGCGTATGATGTAAAAAATGGTTTTGCTACTGAAAATTTGTGTGGCAATGATTTGTGACAGAGAAAATATTATTGGCCCATTTTTTAAAAAAATTGTATTTCCAAATATACAATTTTGCTTTAAATTTTTAAACATGCTAAAACAAAACATGTTCAGTTCATCCAAGTTTATAAATTTGTATGTTTTTTCCTCTAAGAGAAGTTGGACATTTCAGCAGAGACTGGTGATATATGTTAATAGACATAGTTTCATGAGAATTCATTAAATATACATATACCCTAAATGTAAGGGTTAAATGACCTTTTATTGGTTGCTTAACATTTTAAATCATTTAAAAAACTGTCAGCATTTTAAAGAGGTTTCTGTGAAGTGCAATCATATTTAAAGGAGTGAGGAAAAGAGAAAATAGCAAAGATACAACTAAGCCTGAAGCTGAGTTAATAAATCAGTAGGAAGTGATGTTAATTTTACAAGGTGCCTTAAGAATAAAACCAAAACCAAAATTAAAGGAATAAATAAACCACAAAAACTGCTAAAGTATTCAAATTTAGGGAAAGATCATGAAGCAGATGTTAAAGTAAGAGCACTTGTAAATAAATAAGGACAAAAAACACAATTGGACATAATCTTATTCTAGACTCTGGTCACTTAAGTGCTATACACAGAAAAGTTTTGGTTTGCAAAATAAAACCTACATCTCTAATCCCCAAACGTAGCCTATGGTCATTACCACCATCACCACCACCAGTATTATCACTAAAAGCATCACTACCACCACTTCTTTATCCTTGCCATTCTCAACCTGATCCTCAAAAACTTGGAAGTCTATTATGTGCCTACCACTTACCTAAGGTAATTGACACTAACAAAAAGTGAGTCTTGGCTACAAAGGTCAAGTCTACTTCTCCTGAGTTCTTAACTACTTATAAACATTCTTTCCTTACTAAAAATCATGGCTCTCCAATTTCATTTATGTTAAAAATTATTATTTTTTATTTCTATGCCTCTAATTTATTTCTTTTAAAAAATCTTAATTGTTGAGAGTATTATAGATGACCCCCAGCAGGTTCCCACACAATTTATTTCTTTTTAAAAACTCTTTATTGTTGACAGTATTACAGATGTCCCCCGTGCCTCCCGCCACCAAATTCTTGCCCCATTCCAGGCCTATTAGCTGTGTTCAAAAAATGGTTTTAAACCATGTAGAGAACAACAACAAAAAGCTATTTTAATTCTTAAACACCTTGGTTAGGTGTCTATAAGTAGCATTTGATGGCCTTACTTTTGAACAGAAAAATCGAATTTTAACGGAACATTTTATCTTGAGGTCATTGCAGATTCACGTGCAGTTTTGAGATAATACAGAGAGATAACATGTACACTTTATATAGTTACCCAATATGGCAAAATTAATAGTAAAATGTTACAACCAGGATTTTGACATTAGTAAAGTCTGGATACAGAACAATTTAATTACAATAGTCCCTCCTGTTGCTCTTTTATAACCACATCCACTTCCCTACCTACTTCCTCTTCACCTTATCCCTCAACCTTGACAACTACTGACTGATCTCTTCTTCCTTATGTAATTTTGTCATTTCAATAATTTTATCTGAATGGAATTATACAGTATGTAGCCTTGGGCATTGGCTTTTTTCCCCTTCTTTTCACTCAGCATAATTCCCTGGAGAATGCAAGGTGTTTTGTATTTTTTATTGCTGAGTATTAGTCCATGGTATGGATGGACCACAGTTTGTGTAACTGTTAGTGGGAAACCCCCATTTGCGCTTGGGCTCCCTGTCGCTTTGTCCAATATCGAAGGCAGGGTTGAGTCATGTTAGGCGCTTATTGAGAAGGCTAGCCAACCAAGAAGACAAGGCTCTTACAAGCATAAAATTCTGCCTTTCAGCCAGGTACAGGGGGCAGGATTATAAAGGGGAAGGGGCTGGGGTGAGGAATGCAGCTACTTTCCTCACCGAGGATGTCAGCTATTGTCCTTAGTCATATGGCGATGAGATGATGCTGATGAGACGATATTTTGACTCCTGGTGGGTTGGCCTGACCATGTTTATTGGTTCCGCTTGCTGGATTCACAGCTGAGTCACTTTGCACAGGCCTTGAAAAGGAAACTTTAAGAAAAACTTAACCCCCTACTCATACATAAGAAACTTAACCTCCTATTCACATAAGTATATGTGTTGTAAGATTTAAAATAATATGATTACTTTAAAGATTAATTCAGGTGCTCTATTAGATTTTAAGTCCCCCCTATAATAACCATTCACCCTTTGAAGAAAACCTGGCTTGTTCCCAGCTTTGGGCTGTTACAAATAAAGCTGCCAAGAGCATTCATGCACAGGTTTTTGTGCCACAACACTTTTCATTTCACTGGAATAAGTTGTCAGAAGTGCAAATGCTGGATCATAAGGCAGTTAAATGTTTGGTTTTATAATGAAATGCTAAATTATATTCCAAATAATTTCAAATTATTCGACAAAATGACTATATACCGTTTCATCAGCAGTGTATGAGTAATCCAGTTTCTCTTCATCCTCACTAGCATTTGGTATTGCCATTATTCTTTATTTTAGGCATTCTAAAATGTAACATTTGGTTGGAGTTTTAATTTAGGTCTCCCTAATAGCTAACGATGTTGATTATATTTTGTGTACTTATTTACCATCATCTTTGATAAAATGTCTTTTCATTGTCTGTCATGTATTTTGTCTTTTTTTTTTTATTACTGTGGAATTTTGAGAAATCTGCATGTAGTCTATACAGTACCCTTTGTTGGATAAATAGTTTGCAAATATTTTCTTTGAATCTCTTTTTTGTCGTGTGTGTGTGTGTATGTGTGTGTCTTACATCTGTGTGAGCATATGGCTTGTTTTTTTCATAATTTTAATAGGGTCTGTTGGAGAGCAAAAGCTTTTAATTTGAATAGGTTCAAGTTATTGATTTTCATTCTTATGGATCCAGGAACTCTGCGTAGACCTAAAACTGAAAAAAAAAAAACACCTTTTTTCAAAAAGTTTTATAATTTTACATTTTAAATCTGCGAACTATTTTGAGTTAATTTTTGTATAAGATATGAAACATAGGTTAAGGATGGCTGGTTGGTTGAACATTGATTGAGTGGTTGATTGATTTACCCACAGATATTTAATTGCCCTGGCACCATTTGTTAAAAAGGCTATCCTTCCTCTATTGAATTGCTTTTGCTCTTTTGTACAAAATCAGTTGGGCCTATTTGTTTGGGTCTATTTCAGTTCTCTATTTTGTTCTATCGATCCATGTGTCTAATCCTCCACCAATCCCACACTATGTTGATTCATGTAGCTATATAACAGGCCTTAATATTGGTCAGAGTAATTCCTCCCACATTATTCTTCTTTTTCAGGTTGTTTTATTTATTCTAGTGTTTGTAGCTTTCCAGATAAATTTTAGAATAAGTTTGTCTATATCTCCAAAACATCTTGCTGAGAATTTGATAGAAACTACATTTAACCTATAAAGCAATTGGCATCTTTACCATGCTGTTTTCAAATATGTAAACATGCATTTTTATCATTTGTAAAAGTTTTCCTTTATGTCTTTCAACAGCATTTTATAAATAACAGCATATAAATCCTGTAGGACAAATGCAATTTTGAAGATTAAAATGCTTTTATTTTCTTGACAAACAAGACAAAAATCCAAGCAGCATTAATTTACGGGAACATCAAAGTTTAAAACAAGAACATGGAGGGGCGAGGAAAGGAGCTGGTGAGCACCTGGAAGAGGAGGAGGAAGGTGGAGGAAGACCAGTGTTCCTCATGTTCCCAAGTGCTTCTGTGTCTCTGTGGCTGAGGTGGCCCTTTCATCCTGCTTCCTGGCTGGTTGGTGGCCACATAAGAGAAAAGGACATGGTAGTGCCTTTAGGATGAGGCCTAGAGCCCTGTCTGGCCACAGATGTGGAGAGTGCTATAGATTTACCCTCAAACAGCCTTCCACATTTTCACCATCACCCAAAATCCTCTGAGAGATTTTTGTATTTACAGTGGGCCAGGTGGTGGCCAAGACCAGGGTGCAACCCTCAGGCTCTAATCGTCTGTCACCAGGGACGTTCATCCAAGTGCCTCCATGGCCTCCTGATCTCCTGATGTGCATGGAGTCAGGAGGCTGTCAATCATGGTGCTAGAGGTGGTACAGGAAGGACCACAGACCTATTTGAAGTGTGTCACCCACACTGTGATTATAGTGCTATGTTTCTGTGAATACACCATTTTCTTGCAACTTTCTGTTACCACAAACAAGAGACAATGTCAACAGAGATAAAGATGAAAAGCATTCTGCTCTTCCAAAATGAATGTGTAGAAGCTTCCTTTTTATAAGGTGTTAGAGAAACTATAGTGCTCATCACCAGAGGTCCTGAGGGCCTATTGTGTGCTGACAGGTATTTAAATGTTGATAGAAGCCTTCTGAAGGTGTATATCAAATTATCTCAGCAGTGGAATGTCAAGCTGATTCATTTTCTGACTCCAATCAGGTCCTTTGTTTTAATCTACTTTGTGTTATCTTCATCATTCTGCATTTGTAAAGCAGGATATTTTAAAGCCCATTTGCTCAGGAGTGGCATAGCAATTATTTTGAGGACTGGTTCTACTGCGAAGTAGCCAAATGACCTTAGACAACTTTCCTTCTTTGAGCCTTTTCCCCATCTCTCGAATGGGAACAGTGGCAGCCCCTTCCTAGGGAAGGGGGATCCTAATTGTGATGATTAAATGGGGTGCGTAGTGCATAACCACTTAATCACTGGTACCTTATCACTCTCATAAGCTTACTCATAGAATGGAAGCAGGTCAGACAGCAGTACAAAAACATGATGGAATCATTAGGAATGTATCATTTTAGAGGTCCTAGGAAAGTCTTTCACCCGAAATACATTTCACAATCTTCGATCCATCTCAAATCCTCCTATTAAATTGAAACTCTGTTTCTATTTTTTTTCTCCTAAAATGCAAATAACTCCTAGGCAAAGTAAGACATTAAAACTTTAGTAGATAATACAATCATTTTATAAATTGCTATATCAAAATGGTTTCTATATACAACATTTCATCCTGTGAGAAGATATGTATTTGTGTTTTGAAGCATTTGTTAAGAAATGAAGTTTTGGTTGGTTTAGCCTTGATGGTAAGGAACTGGCCAAACTCAGGTGAGTATAGGATAGACCACAAACATCTATTTACTTATTTTCTGATAAACATCTGAACCACTGGTTCTTAGTCCTCCTGCATTTTAGAACCATCTTGGAAATTAAATGCATGCACACAGCATACACATATACATAAACACATATGCATTACACACACACACACACACACACACACACACTTAGCTATATCAGGGCCCTACCCTAGAGATGTATTCTGTTTAATCAGACTGCAGTAGGGCCTTTACATCAGTATTTTTTGACTCCTCACCCTGGTTGTACATGCTACTAGGTTTGAAACACTCCTGTATATAAATTACAGAAACCAGATGAAATGAAGAGTTTAGGTGCCTTAAAATGATCTGTAGATTGAGATTCAAAAGCACCAGGTTCTCCATTGGAACTCTGTGAAAACAATATGACACTTCCAGATTTTCTCATTTGGGAAAATAAAATAATTCCATTGCGTTTAATTCCAATGATCAATGTCATTCTAAAATAACAGAATTCTAGAAGTCAAAGTTTCCCTTCCTTTGCCTATTTGAATCAACATTTGCACATAGACTTAATATGACAGATTCCCCCTAAAGGGGTATTAGATTAATGGATGGTTACAGATAGTTTATACATCCCATCCCCAAAGTAAAGCTTTATCAGACGTCCTGAAAGGGATCTGGGTACATTAGGGAAAATAACATTTCCATTCCAGACTCAACACTGATCCATCAAATCTGTTCGCCTGCTGTCAGCAGAAGGTATTGCCAGATGCTTGAGCGAAATGGCCAGAACATTCGTGTATGTCACCAGTTAGCTGCACAAAACTCGACTGTGGGGAACAATTCTCCCTTGTTCCTCCAGATACCTCTCAGACATTCGGAACTATTAGCTTTAATTACACTTTTAGTAGTGTGGCTCTGAGAGTTAGGATCAGCTAGCCTCAAATCCTCTGCAAATAAGTTGTAAAAACCCAGTCGCACAGTTAGCTTGTCTGCTTCAGCAATAGATAAATGCTCCCGTGTGTTCTAAATAATCCCGGGAAATTATCTTGGAATCTGTGCCAGTTTATTTTCAGCCACTGAAACCATAGTGCTTTAATGATTCTCATCTTAAAACAAAAAGGTAGATATTGATGTTTTTGGATAGGAAATAAACCCAAGTAACCTCAAGTTTAGCGTGTATGAGCATGCATGCATGAGAACATGTATATGTTTTGAATTCTTTAAAGTTTTTTATTTGAATTTTAATGGGGCAAAGCAGAAGTTTAGCTATTGAATGATGGCAGTAAAAGCTATGCTTACTGCCAAGGGTGCTTGTTTTGGCTTTTCTAAGGTTGAAACCAGTTCAGAGCATGGAAAGGCAACTTCATGAGAGATGGAGAGCCAAGTGTTCCAAGGTCTAAATCAAATAAACATCTAGTTAAGTGCCTAATGAACCTCTCAAGCAGACATGGGTGGCTTCAATATGCTAACTGTTGTATAAGACTATTAGGTAGAATATGCAAAATAAAGTGATAGGAAGGCATAACACAACACATGGAAAAATGGACAAAAGCAGAGACAAGGCTTTCTCAAATGCTTTTGGACTGAACTTCAGTTCAAACATGTAGCTTATGTATGTTCTGAATGGCTCTTTTCAAAACATATTTTTAAAGATAATTTAGATTTAAATTCAATGAAATATCCTATTGTTTCAGAGCCTTTTAGAGGTCTTACTTTATAAATAAATTCAGTGAAAAAAGAGTTTTTAAACTTCTTACATGGACTGTATGTTAGAGTTTAATCTGATCCTGCGGAATAAGAAACAGTTATCATCTTTTAAAGGTTTCCACCTAGTGGCAAAGTTATTATGAGCAGAGAGAGGACCTCAATGCTTAAAGCAGATAGAAACAGGAACATTAGGCACATGTCTCACTCAGTGAAGTTGAGTACCACGCATTAAGTACATTTGAGATGCTGTGGAGCAAGTGATCTACTAAAAGAAGGCTGCAAATAAGGCCACTCTCTTCTGTTGGGCTTACTTAGACTGCTGTCCAAATTGCCCTTAGAGATATCATGACTCCAGGACAACTGTAAGCAGTGGTTCTTTTCAGGCTTCAGAGAAATGCTGCCTATAAAGTTATTATTTTCCTTAAGATTAAAAGTATAATTTGTGTATGTAGAGTAGTCAGCTTATTCATAGTGAAAAATATTACCCTGCAAGTGAGCCAGGTGATATGAACTCAGGCCATGAGCTAAGCATACAAATTTGGGTAAGACCACCCTTTTCTGCTTTATATTCTGTAAGATGAGGGAGTTGAAATGAAACCTGGGGCTACAGCCCAGTAGCCACGGGCCAGGGTAGCCTTTTGATGTGTTCTGTTTATTCTACACAGCATAAAAGAGGGGGGTGAGGTTTGTGGGGGAGGGGAAAGGAGAGAGTTGGGAGTATTTTAGGTAGAACAGGCACTCTACACCAGACCTCAGTCACCAGGAGTCCCTTTGCACACTAGCTGTTTTCCTTTATATGTTATTCATCCAGGCTTTGAAAACATTTGGGTTTGTGTCTCCTGTTCTGGGTGTTTTCCAAGGTGACATCTAGATTTAACATATTCCAAAGTTACTTATGTTCTATGCAGAAAAAAATCAATGTTAATGGCTAATATTTATTGAGTTTTTATTATTTACCGGACAGTGCACATGATCTGAATCCTCACACCACTCTAGGAGGTAGGCCTCTATCATTTCTATTTTCCCAGTGACTGAAGAAACTGAGGCTCATAGAAGGTAAATAATTTTCCAGCAGTCACATAGCCAGCAGGTGGCAGGACAGGGATCTGGTATATTGCAATCCAGAACTCCAGTCCTTAACACCTCCCAGACTGAAGATATGGCATCTACATTCAGTCGTTGATTGGTCACGCTGTACCTTGCCTGTCTTTTGAGGAAGTGTGCATGTAAACAGAGAAGTCATCTTTTTCTTTGTAATATTTGTTATTGCTTTTGTGCCTACTGTGATTTACACAATGAAACATATTTAGATGAAGATAAAAGCAAAGGCAAAGGAAGGTAATTGACATAGTTTCCCCTTCCCCCATAAGATTCTGTTAACAGTTTCAGTATTAACTTGTGCACCGCATATTCCAAATAACGTATAAGGGAATTTGAAATTTCTCTAAAACAGACATAGCATTCAGGTGACATACACTTAAGACACTGGTCCTGGGACTAGAAGGATATTTGTTTACCAGTTGGACCAAAGAGTTCCATCAATCACATTATTAGATGCAAGAATGTGGACTTTAAATGTGTACATTATTTAAGGCTTTCTTCTCTTCTAAAGGTACATTTTAACATGTTGGTACATTAGTAGGGGATAGAGTAGATGAGGTATACTTCCTGTGGACATTCACATCTAAGAATCACACATTCAGTGATTATAATGAAAAGATTGCCACAGAACGTACATGTATCATGACATATTCCAACAAAATACGTTGTACTTTAGCCATACTCAATGTGTGTGATTTGGAGCAGTCCATTCTAGAGGAAAGAGTAACATACTGATTAAAATTTTCACATTGGTTTCCAGTAATGTTTTACTGTGTTGTTTACATGTGGAAATTGCTAAAGTCTGTCTTAAAATGCCAGAGACATTCTGAGCACATTCAAGCACCTGAGGTCATTGTGCATCTGAAATTGCTCAGTGCTCTGGTCTGAATAAACTGACCCTTGGTGTTAATAGTCATCAAGCCAGGGCTTCCTGACCTGTTGGAAATTTGGGTCTTAGCGTACTTTGTACAGCGGCATCCTGTGCTCGCCCTCCAAGGATATATCATAAGCTGTAGAAAACAGTTATGAGCGTGGGAAGAGATGAAGCCAGAGAGAGCAAGGTTGGTTTCCTAAAGTTTTCCTTTTCTGCTTTCCAACATGAGTGTTTCCCTCCACAATGAGTTAACAGAATGAGGTAGAGAAAATGCTCCCTTAGCTGGGAAAGTCAAGGCTCTTTCCCTGCTCAGGTGATAGCACTGACACTTCACACAGAGGGCTAATTACATTTAATGCTCTGGAAATTAATTACAGAGAACAGATAATTGTGAAAGCACCTCCCCCAATGCAATTCCAAAGATAAACAAACAAACGACATCATGATTACTAAGCAGCCATGGAATGCTTAATTTTATGCACAGTGGGAAGTGCACCAGTAGTCTAGAAACGGATGAGAAGAAAGGATACTAATCTGAAATATGAAATAGCAGAGGCAGTTTTATGTAGTAATGACCCACAGCTCTCCCGGCAGGAGTGGGAGTCCTCAAAGCTCTGAGCATGGAGTCCAAGGATGCGTTTATCGGAATTTGGGTCTACCAGTCAATCAAATGATGATTTGACCAAGTTTGGGACTGTTTGCTATGCCAGTGGGTAGATGTACCAATCATACATGCTGCTTCTGCTGTTATGATGAAATGGTTGTGGCTCATTTAAACACATTCCCCTTACTAAATTTGTTCTTTTATATAAAAGACGGAGACCAGGTATCCTGAACAGGAGGAGACACTAGGATCGAGTTTATACTTGTTCTAGAAAATTTGAGTATAGATTATAAATCTTTCAAATGTTGCAGTTGACTTCAAAGGGGGCAAATAAAACCCTTTGTCAGATGTCCCAACATGGCCTGCTCCAAAACGCTTATCAGAATTATGATGCATAGAGGGCAACAAGGAAGAATAGCATGGATAAATAATTGCAGCTCTAATGTCAGATTATCAATGAGGCCTCGGTTCCATGATTTCTATTTAAAAAACAAACAAACAACAAAAACATTCTCCCCTACTCTCACAACTACTGCTTCTTCCTCTTGACATTAAATATCCTTCTTTTCTTATAATCACTTGTTATTATTTTAGTCACTTATTTATTTGTGTCATATATTTATTTATTTCTGTGTTTATTGACCCACTAGTGTGTCAACTTGGTGAAGGCAAGAAATTCTGCAGGACATATCTGCACTTTTTATATCAATGCCTGGCATACAATAGACCAGTGGTTCTCAACTTTCTGGCCCTTTAAATACAGTTCCTCACGTTGTGACCCAACCATAAAATTATTTTCGTTGCTACTTCATAATTGTAATACATACATGTGCAATGGATGCAATTATTTTATTTACCTTTATCTTGTGAATATATTTGGGAGAATGGGGAAATGTCTGCTTGAATTTATGATTAAACAATTTGAACCTTCCCCATTCCCTAAGTAATGTTTCTGCTTATTTTTGAGCCTCCTTTCCTAGAATACAACCCAAACAAACAGATCCTTATGCAATCTGTTGCAGGCTCTTTCTTATAAACAGAAGATTTAAGAAAAAGTCCATTCTACCAGTGTTGGTAAACTGTATTGCTAGTTTTCAACTCTACTTTCATTGGACCATAATTTGGGGACTACTGTGTGGACAACTAAAAAGTTACACAGATGTGGAAATTTCAATCATTAACTGTAAATATAAGCCTCAATTAATTTCTGTTATCAAATTAGGAGATAATGTTAGTTTTCACACTTCAGTTCTCAGGTTAGTGCTTTAACTATTCTTATTAAGGGCTCTTACATTAAAAAAAGGAACCGACAAAACAAAATAATTAGCTTTCTGGTGAATTTGCTAGGCTCCAATGGTAGTTTAACTTTTTGGCAATGCATTTCTAATATATGTAACTGTCACTTATTTAATTAACTTAATTTCAGATGAAACATAAAGTATGAATGTAGGTAATTTGGATTATAATTTGCTACCATATATTTTCTATACACACAGGCATATATATCTATATATAATTTTAATTGCATAAAAATGTAAAAAGCATCACTTTATAATTCAAGTTAAATTGCCAAATTCCATATTGTGATTTCCAAACTCCCTTTTCAATACGCTTTTACCAATCTACCAAAAGGAAATAAAATCTGAAGAAAGCTTAAAAAATAATACAATGAAAGCTTACTCTGTGGATTTTCTTTGTCTTCCAAGAAAACATAAAGGGGAAAGTTAAATGTCTACTGATTACAAATGCCTAGAGAGGTCATTGAATGGATGCAATTATCTGTTTTGTTTTTCCTAATTGTCGTGTGCCATGTTTAACCAACAGAAATTCCATCTTCCTACACAGAAGGGAAGCCTCTGTTATCTCACAAGTTGGTTTTTATTTGAGCCAGGAAATTGTACAATGAATGTCCTTTCCAATTAATTTGTCTGTTCTAATCAGTTTGATAGGGGGGCTAACTCATTTAGTACTTCAGGCAGATGCTTAGAATGTGTTTAGGGAATTGACCACTTTATTGCAGTTAAAAGTATATTATTTGCATGCGGAAATGGGTACCAGATCTCCTTTTATGTTTTGAACCTTGATACCAAAATGTAGTAGGCTACTCTCCCACTGTTAGCCTTGGTAGGATTCCTTTTGATATTATCAAAAGAACAATTAACACCAATTGACATGACAACAGATGGCCTCAAAGAGTAAGAGGAATTCAATTTTACAGGGACACTCATCTCAAGCTTTTATATTGGGAGTGCCAGTACAAAAATGGTTATAAAATGCAAGGACAATATTCTATGTAACTATCAGTGGTGCAGTATTACAACTGGTCTGACATGAAAAGTCTTTCTCTAGCTTTTGCTTAATTTTGAGGAAGACGCTCCTATTTGATGTTTGATCAACTAATATCACCTCTGTCACTCTGGGTATGTCATTTAATTTATCAGAGCCTAGGTCTTTTAGCCTACAGAATTGGGACCAATAATAACCCTCAAGTCTTGAGATTATGGTGAGGAGTAAATGAGGTAATCCAAGCAAAGGGCATAGCCTCATTTCTTACATATAAATGTGAGCCCTTACTGTTCTAATTTTTCTATTGCTATCTTTAATTACTTCATAAACTCTGTGAGAACATTTACAAAAATTTAAACTCGGAAATACTTTGTGTTTTTTATGGATATCATTAGCCCAATTTCCAAGGTTTATGAGTTTAAATGTGAAGTACTAGAAATTGTTATTATATGCTTTTTCAACATTGGAAGATGTCCCCCCCCCACCCTCTTATATTAATGCAATGTATTTAGTTAATACATTAGGCATCTTGGAATAATTTAATATTACATTGTTATGTTTATATACTGCTATTTGAGTTTGCTAATAGTTAACCTCAATTTTCAAGCTATTATTATGTAGTTTCCTTTGATTATAGTGTTTCTGTCTATTTTGTGTTTTAGGGTCCTACTAGTCTTATAGAATGAATTAGGGATATTTGCAGCTTTCCTATATTCTGAAACATTAAGTAGCTGAAAAGTTATCTATTTCTTGATATTTATAGAATTTCATACTTAGGGAATAGAAGGGAGAAAATGTTTGACTTTTAATTTTTCTTTGGAGATATATATATATATATATATATTATGAGTCTACTTGATAATTTATATTGTTCTAGAAAAAAAAACAGAGGTGTACAATTCTAGAAAACCCACAGATGTCCCCAAAGTAAAAGAAAAAATCAGATCTTTTGAAAAACCATCCAACTAATTTTGATAATAGAATATAACCACTGAAAAATAAATTTATCTTTAAATTTAACAAAGGAATTTTACATGTATTTGCTATTATTACATCTTTTGATCCTACCAAACAAATACCATGGTAAACATGAAATAGACAAGAAACAGAATTTAGACAGTTTAGACAGGGAACAGAAATTTAGACAATTTAGATTCAAAATCAAATGACCAGTACCATCTCATACCCATAATGGCACTATTATAAACAAACAAACAAATAACTAAATAAAGCAAAATAACAAGTGTTGGTGAAAATGTGGAGAGATTGGAATACTTGTATGCTGTTTGTGGAAATGT